TTTTATTTATTCTTCTACACAGGAAAATCTTTTTTCCTCGGTTTATAGCCCGTTATATTATTTTTCAATATTGGCAGTCCTAAGATACAAGAATTTGCCTTGCAGCGGTAATATAAACCAAGATTGTGAATATATGTAGTTGGGAAGATGCATTAAGCTGGGCTCTTATGTTGGAAAATACTTATCTTACAAGTATTAATTCCGGCAAAAGTTACATTAATGCCGACTTTAGACAATTTAAGCGTTCGAAGAAATACAAAAGTGTTTGCAACATGAAGTAGATATATTGTTGTTTTTGGCGTGGTTAGAAAACTTTACATGTTTAAGATTATTTGGATCAGTAGAATTTCGCAATTATTAGTAAATTTAGCATAAATTTAGCATATACTCGGCAAAAGTTTTCAATTTATTGTATTTGGTAAATTAACTAGCTATAGAAATAGGGATAGCGAAATTTAAGAATATAGACCAGAAATTCAACTCATACATCCACTTACTCATCCCTGTTATGATCCATTAGGATATTAGGACTCCATTTAGTTCCTTATGGTTGAACTAAAGACTTTGTGCGATTTTGTGGCAGTTTTTGTGGGGAGTTTGTGCAGGAACGAGCTATCAACTTAATTCAAGTATTCTACATCGTTGTACTATAAGAACAACCCAACATAATCAATCATTTTAATATGGATCACGAAGATCTTACTGCTTCACATTGGGACGATGTGATATCACCACATTCTGAATATACGAATAATCCTACTAGTTCTTCAATTCCACCATTATTGAACAATCAATTCAACGAGTTATCGGTAGACGATAGCGAGGATCACGACGTAGATGACGAAGAAAATTACGACGACGATGATGAGGCGGAACATCCCCAAACCCCAACATATGGATATAGTAACCCGATAGACGAACAAAGAGATGAGCTAGAAAAAGACGAGAGAAATGATCACAAACATAAATTGTTATCAGAGCTCACGCACGGATCAGAAGAAGATCAGCTAGAATCACTTATGAAATCTCCCGAACATATCAAGCCATCGGAGTCGCTCTTTAATGAAAAAGATAGTCCTATAAAGCCGTCGACTTCGGTATCAAATGACCAACAAGTCTCTCCAAAAAGGGTGTCTAACTTGAAGACGAGTAAATACAAGCCTACTAGACTACGCAAGTTTAGTTCAAAGACAGTTGTCCAACACCTCGGCAATGAAAACAATACAAAAGACTCGTTGGGTCCATTGGGAGAGCCAACTGAGGTGACATCTGACAAAGAATCTGCTCCATCCAATGGCAATGATGATAGTCAGAATAACAATAATAACAAGGATCTATTAGTTCAGCAACTTGACGCACCTTTATACGAAATAGATAATGGGACTAAAAATGAATTACCTCACAAATTAGATCAACCTGGCCATAAATCAAGTTCCAATGATGACTCCAATGTTACTAACGCAGCAAATGCGCCATCAAATTTGGAAATATCTGTTGGAGATCCAATGAAAGTCGGAGATATTACAAATGCACATATCGTGTATTCCATAAAGACTAAAAATAAGAATCCCGATTCTCAACTTTTCCCTCAAGGGTCCGATACATTCATAGTTTCTAGACGTTACAAAGACTTCCGGTGGATATACCATCAATTACAAAATAACCATCCCGGTAAGATTATTCCTCCACCTCCAACAAAACAGACATATATCGGAAGATTTAACGAGAATTTTATCGAAAATAGAAGGTTATCTTTAGAAAAGATGTTGAACAAAATTAGTCATAGTCCCTCATTACAAGAAGATCCTGATTTTATAATGTTTTTAGTAAGTGAAGATTTTGGCAACGAGTCCAAGGAAAGGGAAAAATTGAGTGGCTCTGGAGCATCATTACAGAATGATGAGTTTTTGGATAATGAGAGTAATACGTCTAATACAGATTCCAGTACTCCCGTTACCGTTGGAAGCAATGCGGGTGGATTCATGAGTTCCATATTCTCAATGTCACAAAAGATCGAGGAACCAGATGAATATTTTACCCAAAAGAAAGAGTATATCGAGAACTTGGAGCATAATTTAAGAGTCTTCTATAAATCAATTGAGTTGATAAACAATCAGAGACAAGAAATGGCTGGTTTAGTAGACGAAATATCGATGACTATTGATGAATTAGCCAGCTTGGAGATACTGAAAGTCACAAGCGATTTGTTGAGTGCTTTTAGTGATGTACAGCTCAAATTAAAGGAAAACCTCGATCGTATAAATTTGCAGGATCAGTTAACTTTAGGCTTTACTATAGAAGAGTATTTAAGAATAATTGGGTCAATTAAATATGTATTCGAATCAAGATCAAAAATTTATCAACAATATTATAATTTTAATCAGGAATACATTAAGAAACAAGCTCAATTAAACAAGCTAAATAAAAAATTCAAGGTACAAGGCGATAAAGCCAATAATTTGAGTTTTGAAGTCGATAAATTAAGAGCTAAAGTACAAACTTTTGAGAAGAAGTTCAATTTAATTAGTGACACTATAAAACTAGAACTTGAAAGATTCGAGTTTGAAAAAATCGATGACTTCAGAAACAGTGTTGAGATCTTTATTGAAAGTTCAATAGAATCTCAAAAGGAAGCCATTGAATTATGGGAAACGTTTTATGAACGGGAAAATTTATCCAAGGTTTGAATCGTGCAGATAAAATGGAATTGGGTTTCCTATCTATTGTAAGTCAATTACGACCTGATTATGTATTATATTCACGTGCAAATGACACTATAATTTAAAGAGTACCGGTTTTATTGAGATGACTCTTAAAAAAGCATTAGGGAAGTAAATAAATTAAGTAGGTGAAAAATTTATATGTAATGTGTAGCATTCAAAACACATGGCTATTCTTTATTTCAAGTATTAGGAGTGTGGTTATAACCGTTTGTTAACCAGGATAGTTACAATCGAATTAATACAAGCTCAACTATGCACACTCAAGCACATTTAAATCCAACCGAGTTATCTATACTATCTATTCCGAGAGAGAATTGTTGGATATTTGCCAGTCCTATATTACGATTGTTACATTATGAATCTTTAAAAGTAAATCGCTTCAATACTGGGTATGATTCCGACTTTTCGACCGAAGTAGGTGAAATTGAAGAAGATGAGACTGACAGTGGGGAAGAGTATGGGGAATACGATGATGATGTGAATCAACAGATAATAACTGGTCTCTCATCAAGTTGGTGTTTGCCTAAGTCTGCTAATCGCTCTATTCGTAAAAATGAGTCTATGTCACCCATTTCTTCAAGTGGGTACTTAGAAAAGAATGATCTACAAGTTGATAATTCAAGTAAAGCTCATCCTCAGCATGATGCACTTGATCCATCTAATGATAGTATTGGTAGTGATAGGAGAATATCCAAAGATAAAGACTCTGAAGAGGAACCTTTCAGAGAACAAGATGAAAATTATTTTTTTCATATTGCATTTACGCCCATTGAGTGTACTGTTATCTGTTCGAGTCAAGTAATGAAACTGTTATTCGAAGAACCTTTACAGTTATGTCATCAATTGAAGTTTGATAAGGTAAAGTTAATAGAGGATAAATTTTTAAGTTTACTCATTGACAGCGACGGAAGCTTCGATAATAGTTCACAGATTCTAGAATTGACTAAACCATTATCTGAAAACGATATTTCATTATTCTTCTTATCCAGCCACTTTAGCAATATTGTTTTAATACCCTATGATTTAAAAGAGAAAGTTATTACTATCTTATCGAAACAAAATTTTGAGTTTTCAGACATTTCAAATAGTTATATTGCGAACCAGATTAACGATGATTGCGAACTGGAGGAAGTTGATATATCACAAGAAATTGAAGCAGTCAATCTTGAGTTAAAAGCATTCCAATTATTTAAGACGACCAATGTACAACCAATAATTAATAGCAATGTCAATCTTTTACTAACAGGAGCAAGGCCAGGTGAAGTCAAAAACACGATCTTAAAAACAGCTAGAAATATTTCAGCAGGTACTATTCCGGAATATTTCTCTATAACTAGGACATCTGTTAATGAAGTATCCCTTCTTCTACCTAAATCAACTAGAAGAAGATCACTGATGGGTTTTAGTTCAAAAAATATTATTGGTTCAATCCAAGATGTTATCATTCCGATTACGGTTGATTTATATGAGTTACCATTAGACTCTACTGGTATTGTAGCGGGACTCGCTAGTAAGATTATTAATGGCGTTAAAGTAGCGGCCCAAACTGACTATCCATTTGAAATGAACTACTTATCAATGGGCCAATCTGCGATTATCATGGTGCCGAAAGAGAATCTCTCTTTGGTTTCAGATATACTAAAAAATGTTAGTTATGACTGATTTAGGTAATAAAAATAAATAGGCGATATCGTTAGGTTAATAAAGGCAATATACTAATCTGGTATTATTCGTAAATGCTTGAAGAATACAAAGCGGACTCGTAAATAGAATATTATTTTATATGCTACCATAGGATGATAGTTTTCTATTGGAAATGCTAGAAATATTATTATTATTTAAGAGATTATATTGCTGAAATAAATTTATTGATTTAACAACCCTAATATAACAAAAGCACCATAAAAGCACCCTGAGAAATAGCTTGACTTAACAAACTATAAATGGCATTCTGTACCAAAATTATGACTTAATCAACAAGTCTTCACTCAGGCCACAACATTAGAACTGGAAAAAGAAAATAATATTGTCTGTATATCATCAATGGATAGCAGAATTCTGTTGTTGATGAATGATTTGCAAGGAATAAATAAATTCATCACGTAATTCTCGCCACCAAGAACGTTCAAATATTATACCTAAGTTATAGTAACTAGCGTAGTTTACTAATACTGCTAATGCAGCTATAACACAAGCTACTTGTACAAAGCTTTTGAAGAAGCAAGTCATTGTTGAAAGGAATAATACTGTATTAGTGAATTTATTTCAATTAGGTCGAGCGTAAATAAAGGGAATAAAATCTACACCAAAAAATCGACTACTCAACGCAAACTTATTAATTTTACTTAGCTAATTATATATCTTAAAATTTCTTATTTTTCTTCTTAGATTTGACACTAGTGCTCCAACCTTCTTCGTCAATAGTCGAAACTTTGTCGGCACTAGAAATGATAGCTGAACCCCAGGATACTTCGTCTTGAGCTCCAATTTGTTGTTCTACTTTTTGTCTTCTCTTTAAGAATTCTTGAGCAAATCTTCTTCCATCCATTGTAGCAGATGAACTATAAATGGTTTCTGAAATCAATTGCGAAGAATCATTGTTCAGAGGTAAAGTAGTAAAAATATCTAATAAATCATCTTTCGAAACGGTAGGATATAAATTAGTCATGGAGGACCTTGCCCAGATAAGGAACTCTTCTTTCAATGCCATACTGTTTGCTGTTGATTTGAGAGGCTTCACAGCAGATACTGAGCGTAATAATTGTGGATTTGCTTTAGAAGCTGGGGTGGTAGTCGTAGAGATAGTCGATTGCGATGGCTTTTTAACAAGTGGCTTTTTAGGAGTCACTACTGTCCAAGGACTGTCATCCTTTGGAACAGAATTGGCTAATGCATTAGCAAAGGAGGATTTAGATGCTGTAGATGCAACAGGTAAGACATTGGCAGCCTTAGCCTTGGCTTTGGCAGCTTCGAATTCTTCTCGTTGAATTTCAGCTAACGTTTTCTTTGCTACAACAGGTTTGGAATTGGCATTAACACCCCAACTTGAAGCCTTTGGAAGACTTGGCTTTTCTTCAACAGGTTTTTCTTCAAGCTTAGCTTTGGAAAGTTGTTCATTCTTGATAGCGGCTTCAATTTGCTTTTGTTCTTTAACCCTTTCTGCTTCAACCATTTGAATTTCTTTTAATGTTAATGCGGGCTTGGTGTTAGAATCCTGATTGGTAGAAGTTACTGATGCCCAAGGAGCAAGTATTGGTTGAGAATTTGTCGATTTCGGTTCATTATCCTCGTGTACTGAAGACTCAACAGGTAAGGTGGATACATTCTTTGAATCGGTGTTAGCTTTTGAATCGAGAACTTGTTGAGCTTCTGAATGAGATTGATATGGTACCTTGTTTTCATCTGATTTCTTCTCTTTTTGTAATACGGTCTTATTTTGTTGTGTTGCTTGTTTTTGTTGTTTTTGTTGCTTTTGTTTTTGTTTTTGTTGATCAACTGCAGACTCAGTTGACTCCTCTTCACCATCGTTTAAAATGTCCGTCACAACAGATGTGTGAATACCATCTAATACAGCATCATGCTGGTTGCTATGATTTTGATTTGGAGATGGTTGTTCACTACTGCCCTGCTTCTCACTATTAGCTAAGGTAGAAGATGGTACGAATGGTGAACTAACGCGAGACAGCGATTGGACCCCAGATAACCATGGGGACATAGGTGCTTGAGACATCTGTGAAGGAAGTACAGGAGCAACCGATACAGGGGTTCCTGGGGTACTTCCAATACGCCCATTTTGAGGATCAATTCCCCAACCACTGTTGCTACTTGACAAAACTGAGTTTTGTTGCAGCAATAATGACGGCATGTTATTAATATGTTGTAATGGGTTACTCAATGGTTGAGAATGATTGAACCCAATACCCGAATTCATTGAATCAATACCGAATTGATTTGGGTTTGAAAAGGCGCTAGTTGCCAGTGGAGTTAAAGGGCTCGAAAATGGATCATTGTGATGATTTATGAAGTCATTTCCGAACAAATTGCTTTGTGGATTAATAGAAGAATTCAATCTCATATTTCCTACTCCAAGATTGCTAGGTCCGCCTAAAAATTGTTGAAATTGGGACTGGGAAGGTTGTATTCCAGACGAGGTGAATGATGACTGGTCGTCGTTAGATACCGAACTGCCGACATTTGATAAATCAGGAAGAGGCACTTTAAATGGCTGAATGTAGTTTTGAACCTTATCACATAACTCCTTCAAAGTCTGATAATTCCTCTCTTCCTTTCTTCTAATTTTCAAGTCAAGATTTAAATAGCCGTCAGTCAACCATTCTTGCATCATATCACCGATAAATGGACCTTGTTCATTGCCACTTGGATCGACATAAAACCATTCAATTTTGTCGGATGTTAAAAGCGCAAGCTGCGATTGTCCCGAAGGTTGTTCATAGTCAGATTGAGAGTCATAGTTGGGAAGATTCATGCCTGGAGGTGGTCCCTGTGACTTCATTTGCGATGCAAAATCCATGCCTTCCGCCGTTGACAATTTATCTAATGACTCAATTATCTCAGATGCAGATCCGTTATAGCTTTCTTGACTATTATTTGTAGGACCAGATGGTTGTAGGTCTAAATGGTAAATCTGTCCTGGCTTGCTTAACTTATAATTCTCATTATTTTGTACTGGTAACTCAAGGTTTGAATCCAATATTTGGTCTTTATTCTCATACCAGACTTGAAACACTTCATTCATATTGTAGCGTTTTCCACCCTTATTTGGAGGGATAGTTGCGTTACTATTCCCATATGATGGTGACATGCTTTCACTTTGAACTCTCAGAGTGGTATCTTGATTCGATTCAATATGCCCATTGTCGAACTCAGGTTGTTGAGCTTTACGACTCCTACACAGAAAGTTAGTATAAATGCTGAATAGACACATTCTAGGGCCATAATCAATACAAAAAGCCTTACATACCATGTAGTTTGTGACATCTTTTTAAGAATTAGACGGTTTTTTGGTTATTGTTTTTAGTAAAAAAATTAAATGCAATCAAAGTTTGAGTTATGCTTCAATAATTCAAGAACAGTTGTACAGCAAATTGATTATTTAAAAACTTGTGAATGTTTTCTTTGTTCTTCTTCACTAGCTTGAACAAATTTTCAGAAACTTTTGATCTTCAACAGAGGAACTGAGGACTGTATACGGGAATTGAAAAATTGCATGCCGGGTAACACGAATAAGTACCAGGATTCCAATAACAACAAGCTATAGAATCTTCAGTTAGCTTACTAGAGAGAAAAAGATGTTGCCTGAATGTCTGATACTGGCCTTAAGTTTTGGATTATCAAAAAAATTATAATTCTAAATATCAATAAAGAAAATTTACATGTAAGTTCAATGAACATTAAAAGACGTGAATTCTAAGTATAATGAATAAAGAAGTCTAACTATTGTAAGGTAATGTAAATGACGCTAGGGTCATCGAAATAGCAGTCACTTTGTAATTGAGATGATTTCATAAATCTCTGGGATCATGAAGCTCATTTAAATGAAATATCAGGATTTTATATTGGTGAGCATGATTTCTTAAATACCCATTTTCTTTTCCATTTCAGTGTGGAAATCTTGTACATGGTTTCCACTTTCTAATCCGCCACGATAGATATCTTCCCAGTCAACGCTTGCGTCCTTATTGAGCAAAACATCTTTGTGCATACTATCTGGACCACCTAACAATTGAGGCTTGAAATCAGTTGCTTCTACCAATTCTAACTCCATAGTTCTCTTGATTGGTTCTCCGGCACCGAAGACTCTTCTGTAGGTTTCTAATCTGGTTTGGTATTGTGTTTCTTCCCAATTGCTGATTCTTCCTTCTAAGGGATGACGGTTATTTATCTTGGATGCTAAGTTTAAAGGACCTTCCTGAGTCTTTAAGATATCTTGCAAACCTGGAGCATGAGCTGCTGGCTCACCAAATTTCGTACTATTTATGGATGAATGCTGATTGTTATCTGGAACAAGTTTTAACGACTGATACATTGTTAGTAATCATAAAATCCAAAATTCAAATCATTTATAACAATTCGACATCAATCATAATTGATTGACTTAATAACGTGTCCATATACATACCATATTAAGCGTGGATACTGTATTACTATAGTGTTTAATCAATTATATATTGCCTTTATTATCGGCAGTGGCGAAACTGATAGTCGTGGTTTGTGCACGACACAAAACCATCATGATAGTATGCAGGAGATATTTACCTATGTGTATGTATATATATACTTAATGGACCCTATAAAATATTCAGCTACAATCTTTCAATAGGTTCGTCGACGACATCGATAAGTCTTTCATAAGTACCATTAGACTTCAAAGAATGAGGAACAAAACTCCATTCTTCGGGATTTAATACGCCATTAAAACACAAGGTCCCAAATACTAAGACAACAAAACCAACAAATTGTAGAAAATGGAACGACTCCCAGCCCATGAAAATTGCAAGAAGCCACACTGATAAAGTACGACAAGTGTCGATAGTAGATCTTGCAGTAGCTGATAATTCATGGGTCAAAGATATACCAAAAAAGTTAAATGATGCTATCGAGACCATTATGAAGACCGATGTAATTAATATTTCTCGAGAACCAAAGAGCTGAGAAAATGATTCAACAAGGTTGAAAGGCGATCCTGCAAACTTTTTTGGGGGTAATATTGCACCTATTATGAAATTTAATATAATCATGATTGTCAATAAAATAGTAGCCCCGTAGAAGCCCTCGAAATAAACCAATTTCAATGGCACAATGGATTTTTTGCTTAAAATATGCTCTTCGACAACAAACTGGATAGCTTGGAATAATGCGGCTAAAACAATCAACATCATACCAAAGACAACAAGGGCCGAGGCTTCCTTATTGGTCATTGCCTGAGCACTGTCACTTTCAGATGCCTTAGACCCACTCAATCCCACTATCACGACTCCTAGTGTAACAATAATTAATGAAATCCATTCCAACTTTGTAATTTTTCTGTTCAAAAAGAGAACTGATAAAATGGCCACAAATAATACGATCGAGCCCCTTGTCATTTGGTAGATTGATACAGGCGTATAAATCAACCCCACATTCAATAATGTAGTAGCAGTTAAGTCACATATTGATGGAAGTGCCAATTTAAAGCTATCGAATATAGATAAACCTTCGTCTGCGGGTTCATTCAATGGATTGTACCCATTCCCCTTACTAAATCTCGACTTGTAGACCATGTAATACACGAAAAAACATGACAATTCACCAATGAACATTTGTAATGTCTGCAATGCCGGTTGGTTAAAGTTCTCATGTTTGTTCTCGTTCGGATTCGAGCAATGGTGGACACACTGGTTATCTTGATATTTAGTGAAGAGTGAGTTCATACATCCAGTAGTAATGCATCCAACCACTAATATCACTAGATAAATCTTTGAAGCCATACTTATATAATAGCCTTTTCTATGTTGTTTTAATAGCTCTTATTTAGCAAATTTGGCCTCTGGTTGTCTCTAAATCACTGAAGTTGTTTCAAAACGTCCGTTCATATCTACTTTGGGTCCTCAAACATTAAGTACTGATCGCCCAATCGGGTAAGTGTCCATCATGTGATACACTATCGAGCCGCATGATGGGCATCGTATCCTTAGGTATGGGGCAAGGCATATCTTGATATAATGGCAAGTAAAGTTAGTAATGATTTCCAATAAAGGACACCATTGTATAGTGCTCATTTCAATAAAGAGAATGATATAAAAAACTACGGGAATACTGGTGTGAAGAGGAACTTGTTATGGTTTCAAACTTTCATAAATCATTGTTGCCAATAATATCGCGCTCCTGAAGCCCCCAGGCCTCGTATTTCTTCGATATAAGTTGGTAGATATATTGAACAGATACATATAAAACCATTCAAATCAACAAATCACAACTATTCCGATCATCTATCCTGTACTGACTGTTTGAATAACTGGGTCCCATAGTTAAGTCCTATATGCGACTTTTGGTGACATTCGACTCAACTGCCATAGTTAAGGAGTGCGGATTATATAATATCGAGGGTTACCCGACTTCCGAGCAGAGAAACAAATTTTTCACTCCATCGATTAATAGAAAAAAAATCATCCTAGAAAGGTTTATAGATTCAACAACACTATTGAATTGTATTAAACGTTCCTATTCTTCGTTTTAACACTTATAAATATACAATAGAAAATGGCTTTCGGTGCTCCAAGAGGTAGAGGCGGTGACAGAGGCGGATTCGGTGGCCGTGGTGGATCCAGAGGTGGATTTGGTGGTCGTGGTGGCCGTGGTGGATCCAGAGGTGGATTCGGTGGTGACAGAGGTGGATTCGGTGGCCGTGGTGGTGCCAGAGGTGGTGCCAGAGGTGGCCGTGGTGGACCAAGAGGTGGTGCTAGAGGTGGCCGTGGTGGTGCCAGAGGTGGTGCTAGAGGCGGTGCTAAGGTTGTTATCGAACCACACAGACATGCCGGTGTCTTCATTGCCAGAGGTAAGGAAGATTTATTAGTTACCAGAAACATTGCTCCAGGTGAATCTGTTTACGGTGAAAAGAGAATTTCCGTTGAAGAACCATCTAAGGAAGAAGGTGCTGCTCCAACCAAGATCGAATACCGTGTGTGGAATCCATTCAGATCTAAGTTGGCTGCTGGTATTATGGGTGGTATCGATGAATTAGGAATTGCTCCAGGTAAGAAGGTTTTATACTTGGGTGCTGCTTCTGGTACTTCTGTTTCCCACGTTGCTGATGTTGTTGGTCCAGAAGGTATGGTTTATGCCGTTGAATTCTCTCACAGACCAGGTAGAGAATTGATTGGTATGGCCAAGAAGAGACCTAATGTCATCCCAATCATTGATGATGCTCGTCACCCTCAAAAATACCGTATGTTGATTGGTATGGTTGACGCTGTTTTCGCCGATGTTGCCCAACCAGATCAAGCCCGTATTATTGCCTTGAACTCCCATTTATTCTTAAAGGACCAAGGTACCGTTGTCATCTCCATTAAGGCTAACTGTATTGACTCCACTGTTGATGCTGAAACCGTTTTCGCTAGAGAAGTCCAAAAATTGAGAGAAGAAAGAATCAAGCCATTAGAACAATTAACCTTAGAACCTTATGAAAGAGACCATTGTGTTGTCGTTGGTCGTTACATTAGAAGTGGTTTAAAGAAATAAATCTAACCAAGGGTTTATATTTTTTTTCTTTTCATACCATCTTCAAGTTTCTGTTCATTATAAACAATTCATGTATTTTATTTTAAAAAAATTCGAGAAACTGTTTCTTGTATTGTTTTCTTCACTGTGTATGTTGCACATGAAATAGGTCTTAACATTTATAGTTATTCATTCAATATGGCATTTTAAATATAATCGTTACTTAATTCATTATCGTAGATTGTCATCTAAAGGCATGCTTGTATGTAGTATCCATTTCACTGAATAAATTTTGAGAGCCGCGAAGTAGGCGTTATCAAAATCTAACTTACAAAGTACTTAATCCATACATTTTTTGACTTGCTCTAGACGAGTATTTTTATATATAGAAGAAGCTGTGTGTTAGGTGTGTTAGCGACCAAAGATTACGATATATTAAGTGAAGATAGTTGAGTGGCATTTGAATAAGATTGAAATTTTGAAATGCCCAAAGACACTATAGAAATGAGTCGAAATGGCGAATATTTAGATAATATAGAGAATGGGGGCCAAGATGGAGAATCTGACTTCCCACAGGAAGTGATAGAAATTTTGACGGATGACGAGGATGATAATCGTGATTCAGGCTCCGGTAGCAATAACCTCACGAATAATAATGAACCCTTCATAATTGGGGACCACAATGACGATGATGACATACAAATAACAGGGGCAAATACTATGAATTCTGGTGATAGGGCACCCAGAAGAATACGACGCCGCAATCATTCAACATCTATAAATGAATCGAGAAATATTAGAAGGCGGCCTAATGAAGAAGAAGATGATATTCAAATTATTGACGAACGTCCAGCGGAAAGAACGCTCATTCCGCCGCTTGATATGCTCCCTAGTTTTGCCCCCGATAGTCTTCGTCGAAGAGTACAAGGAATTGAAACTCCAGTGGGAGTATTTCAATCTTATGAGGATAGTAGTACGCCTTTCTCTGGGTCTGAAAGTGAACGTAGCAACAGATATACAGAGCCACCCCGCCGAATTCCCACGAGATCAAGGAGGGCCAGGAGAATAAGACCCCCAAGATCCAATGATTTTATAGCATTAGACCATTTTGTTTTCTCACAGCAACTATATCACAATCTATATGGCGATTGGAATGGTCTTGAAGATCTTCCTAATGCAGATGCCGTTGAAGGATCTGTGATGGCGAGAATCGAAAGGGACAATGAGAATGCAGTTGATCAGAGGTTACAGAACGAGAATATATTCAACAGGGTTGCATTAAAAAGCAAGAAAGATATTGCAGAGAATGAATTGCCTGGTTACACTAATGACATTAAACCCGACACAAATATATGTTGTGATTTATGTGGAATAATTTTAGGCGAAGGTATTCCCGATTATTTCAAGCCCAATTTGTACTATAATGAAGATGATAATTTTAAGAAATTTTGTGAAGACTACAAAGTGCAAGCACCTTGGTTCTGCATTAAACAGTGCTTACCATCTGATGTTGACTTATCAAAGCGGGTATTTGTTGCAAAATGTGGTCATGTATACTGTGGAAGGTGTGTAAAGAACATAGGGAACAGGCCTTCCGGACGGAGAAAACAAAATCAAAAGATAACGATCGATAACCCTTTGGTGTATGCACCAAGAAAGTGTACAAATTCTGAATGCAATCTGTCTTTCACCGGTAAAAAGTCATTCACAGAATTGTATTTCTAATGAATTGCATATATATATTTATTTTTACATGTAGTATATCTTATAGAGCATTTAAAACTAGCTAATAATATACTGAAGAAATGACGAACTAAAAGTATTCATAACTGCTAAATTCTTTATGGACAAACTAGAAAGAAAGAATATGGTTAATTTAATAATTTAATAAAGTACAATCAATCTACCCGTGCTTCCGATAAGGTTAATGGTTTAATATTATTCGAAAAAACAGATGACCCGCTCTTGAATCTGTTGATCTTTTTCAACTTTTCTCTAACAACCATCACTGGCACCGTCAGTTTGGTTACCAAATAGTTTGATAATGAACCTAATAACACCCCCTTTATTGCAGATTGACCTTTTGAACCGACTACCGCTAAGGTTGGCTGTAAGTTTTCAATAATTTCTAAAATCAAATGTCTTGGAATTGGATGATGGATAATCTCAATAACTATATGAATTTGTAATTTGGTTAATTTCAATAAGTTCAAAACTTGCTGTTTCGCCTTATTTAACATATTAAGTCTTTGGTTTTCTCTTGTAGATTCATTCAAAGTATTACCTTTCAAATGGTGGTTATTATCATTTTCCTCAATGACGCAAACTATAAATAATACCGATCCATCAACAAGAACTGTACCAAGACACCATTCCAATGCAAATATGGACTCGGGCGAAAAATCCATACAAACAAGGAAAATCTTTGGTTTAACTTTAGGATTGATCAATTGAAAGAAATTACCTCTGGTTATGACTTGAATTGCTCTTGATTGACTTTTGTTTGAGTCAATTTCTCCTTCTTTGATTGTTTCATTCAACTTTGAAGCAAACTCAGAGTCCAATTTGTCTTCAACAGCTGAAGTATATGGAATCATAAAGTCCTTTTCGTTAGTCTCATCATGTGAAGAAGAGGAGTCATCTTCATTACTCTCATTTGGCCTCAAGTGATCATTTTCTTGGTCAATAATCTTCTTTCTGTAAGTGGAGTAAGTTTCAAGCTTTTGTTTCCTAGATGCAGCATCCTGTTCAATTTTACTAAGGTCTAATTCATTTCCAGTCAATTCATGCTTGTCACTTTTCAATTTGTCCAAAAAGTCCTTATCGACATTACTACCAATATTTTTCGCATTGGCAAACGCTCTTTCGTTAGCTGTTAACTCTTCCAATCTCTTGGTCACCGCCCTATCATGTAAATTTGAATTCTCTAAAATCAGCGATATTTCGTTCATTTTGTCATCTTGGCATGCATAGTTTGGTAATATATTCCCTGTATCATCATACTGGAATTTCTCGTTATCTTCATTATCACTGATATGTTCTTCCTCACTAACTTCATTGTCCCATAATTCGTTTACATTGTCTTCATTTTCATCCTGTACACTCATATCCTTCTCTATGAGCCTTTCCAGTGGGTCATGGTTCGTTATTGACCACTTCAAGTCTCTATTGAACTCGTCATTCAGTATCAGAGACGATCTGCTGTTATGCCCAGATTTCGATGGAGAAAGTGATCTACCTCTATTCACTACGTTTGATTGCCTTCTAATGGCCATTTGTTCTGCCTCTAACTTCGAAAGCTTGCTGGCCATACTGTATATCTGTTAATTGACTATAAGCTTATAGCTTGCTAACCTAATTAGGGAAGGATTCTATAATCATCCTTTCTCATATCCGCAGCTAATCTGTAAATGCACGCGATAAATGAAACACTGAGAAAATTTACTTGGTTTACAGGTTAATAACAGCAAATACTAGCTCTATTATAAACTACTATATACTACTTCAGCAAAGGGTGGTTGGCTCAAGTCTGATCATCACTATCTAAATCATCGCTATCCTCTTGTAAATATTCAACAAGTAAACTGACTCCGGATTTCAATTCCGGTATAGAGCTAATGGGCTCGTTAGTAGATGCAAAAACCTTTTTAGGGAAAGGTTGGATTAGCTCAAATTTAAAAGCAAATTTCTTCACGTAGTCGTTCACAGAAATCATTTCATCAGGTAATTGCAAGGAATTGATGTAACTGAACACTTCATCTTCATTGGTGCAATCGTTTAGAGTAGAGTTGATTAAATCGTTTACGAAAATCTTGAGTTCAATGTACAAATGTAAGTCATTGACAGTGATTGACGTCAGGATGACTTCGATAATTCTCTTACCGTTTGGCAATTTAATGGAAATTTTGATTTTGGGAGCTGGGCTATCATTTAGGGTTTCGAACCAATTGGTTTGGATTAACGAAAATAAGAAACTTTCTCTTAACTTGACCAACTCTTCAAGATCATGTTTCATCCTGATTTCATTTTCTTTCTGAATCCTCTTTAATCTATCCTTTTCCAATGATTCAGTGTATGCGTCGTCTTGTTGTTGTTTCAAGAGCCGCGAAATTTCAATTTCTTGCTTGTCAATTCTCTGGGTTATTAGTTGTGCATTGAAATTATCCATTAATTTATGTAAGTTCTTGAGAACCTTTTTGATCGTTGCTGCCAGTTCTCCGTTACTTATGAATGCATGAGGGATGTTTGACTTATAAACTATCGACATGGATGATAATATCGATGGGTTATTAGAAACATTACCAACTAACATAACATATGGAAGCTTCTTGACTTTGTAAGTCTGTCCAACTTCAAACGACTCAGGGTCCTTTTCCACATTGTTCAAATATATCGACGTTTCTTTAAAAATTCCATCATTCTTATTAAATACTCTGTTAAAATGATCATTTGTCAATAAATTTTGTAAAAAGTCTTGCGCTTCCTGGTTATTATTCACTAATATTACTAACAACCATGTAAAGTTACTTTGGGTTTTCTCGTGTACTTCATTAAACCCACTATCAATTATATTAAAGTTATCTAATACGGAAGGGTTTCTTTTATCAACTTCTTCAACTTTCTCCATCACGTCCTCGAATTTTTCATCACTGTAATTAATATCTCTATTTGATTCACCATTGAGTTCACTTGTCAACCAGTTCAAATACGAATAGCTATCATCGTAGTTGTCATATTCAAACTCAATAGGGAATCTATTAACGCTTCTTGATCTATTACCTGAACCACCGAACAAAAATCTGAAAATCGATATTATGATTTGCAAGACAGCCTTAGGGATTATCAACAAAATTAGCCAAATGGATGTGACCGGTGATTTCTTCTGTTCCAATGACTTTGAATCAGCACTGCTACCTGCGGATTTCAATGATGAATGAATCCCCACATCTAATTGCCAGTTATTAGAGATTCTGTGTGCTTTCGGTAATCGAGGTAAGAAGCTGTCCAAAGCAAATTGGCTCTGTAAATTCATCACATTATCACGATCACTAAAAGCCCGGTGGCTCAAGTGCGTACTATTATCACCGTTATCCAATGCTTCAAAACCAGAACTAATCACCTGTGATTCAACTGATGCAAATTTGCTATCAAAGTAGGTGGAAATCGAGTTATTAAGGTTCCAGTCGTTGACCCTCAACAATTTATGTATATTCTCAATTTCATCTTCAGGTCCTAATCCTGTTATAGTTTGGAATTGGGAAATCAAGTCTTTTCGTTCGTCTGACAACTCATCTACTGACATCTTGATTAACTAGTGCCTGGTTAGATGGCAACGATGTGTTGGTTATAATATGGCTTATATGGGTTTGATAGTGATTATGTCATCATAGTCGTGTAAATTACATAATCGATCTAGCCTTAGTGCTTGGCTCGTAGGAGATTTCCACTTACCAAGAACTCGACTCTTAGCTTCATCGTACCAGAGCCAAAGAAGGACGTTAATGGCACCATGGTGTGAGTGATAGCAGATTCATAGTTCCGGGAAAACAGTATGTTTTCGGGCAAAATCGTACCCAGACCACGCATCGTACAGTCTTCCTTTTATCCATCACAGATTAAGACTAGGCCGTTAAGGATCACTACTGAAACATCGCACTTGAGCATGTGCAACGGTGATGCCAAAATATCTTCGAATGCATTCGCCAATTTCAACTGCTTGTTTCACTATTGTTGATATCCTAACTGATCCATCACCCAATAACAGTGCTATCATATTCGCCTCTACGAAACTGCATATATTTTCTAGGTACCATTTCAACGCCTCATTTTGGTACAATGGTTTCCAATGAACCATGGAACTTATCTTTATCTTTATTATACCCTCCCATTGCCAATCGTCTACCGGTCAATCGTGGTTATTTCGCATCTTTTCGCACTGTACATCTTCTGACGTTCGATATTCAACTTCATCCCAATAAACGAGCACCTACACCGTTATCCCCCATATACTTCTCTAGCCCCTCCCCCTCCCCCACTAGATTTGTCAGGCAGAATCCACCCCCACCACCTGTTTTTCGCCATCAGAACCACCTCATCCCAACATCCATCCTACCTACTCACTGTTTACGCTCTCTGTCTTCTCTGCTGGCTCGGGTCTCCGTCCACGATGTGTTCCACCACGAATTCCCCCATACCTGTTATCTGGGGCTATTGTCTCTGGGCTGCGTTTCATCAAGTCGCCTTACTTATCAATTTTGTGTCATGGCTCGCAACTCGGTCTATTTTTATGCTGCAAAAGAACCTCGGTAACTTACCTTATATCATACATCGTTGTTTATATCCTAGTTGCAACATTATAGCATCTTGTACAAGTATATCCACTGTTACGGGGGAACTATTATGCACCAATATTCTACTGTTAACTATCATGTCTCTACTTCCTGACTTTCCGCCTCTATAGCTCATTATCTGGCTGTTGGCAGAAGCATTGCTGCGAACTTTTTCGGTGTAGAAATGCCCGTGTCGGTCCAACGGACTCCAGACGTTTTTTATTCAATCCATTAGTGTTTTCTTTCGTATAGCGTGACAAAACAACTCGTAGTACCTGCGTTGCATCAAGCGCCATGTCTTCGGATAGATACTGAGCAATAGCGAACTCTGTTATTCGTTGGAGCAACCGTTTATAGCCCAATAAGAACAACCATAACCATGAGAATGAATATCCTGCACATAACTGATGGACGAAATTCTCTAAGCATTCGAAGAACACCTTTTCATAAATAGTATATAAAGAACTGAGTTTCTTTTCACAAGAAAATTGCAAATTTTTTCTAAGAGAAGTATTCTATCAAGATAGTTATTTTATTCGATTATATAGACAGTGAGAAAAGCCTTGAAGGATTTTAGAAAACTTTGTCTCGAGAATGTCTAAGATTTTTCAAACCAAATTAGCCAAAACTGCGTTAGCAGCTGCTGCAGGGGTTGGAGGTACGATCTTGTATTTAGATTTTGTCAGACCGCCAGTTGTATCAGACTTGAACAACTCATACAAGCCATTAAGAAAAGAGTTGCCTCTTCCACCAACAAGAGAATCATTATTGAACAAGTTAGAAACTACACCTAAATTCGATGTTTTAGTGATCGGAGGAGGTGCAACCGGTACTGGTACCGCTGTCGATGCAGCCACCAGAGGTTTAAACGTTTGTTTGTTGGAAAAGAGTGATTTTGCTTCCGGAACATCGTCTAAGTCGACCAAGATGGCTCATGGTGGTGTTCGTTACTTGGAAAAGGCAATTTTCCAATTATCCAAGGCCCAGTTGGACTTGGTCATCGAAGCATTAAATGAAAGAGGTAACATGTTAAGAACTGCTCCACATTTGTGTTCTGTTTTGCCAATTATGATTCCAGTTTACAAGTGGTGGCAAGTTCCTTACTTCTTCGTTGGTTGTAAGATGTACGATTGGTTCGCCGGTCACCAAAACTTGCGATCATCGACTGTATTCTCCAGAGAAATGACCAGTGCCATTGCTCCAATGATGGATGATTCGAACTTGAAGGCCACATGTGTTTACCACGATGGTACTTTTAATGATGCTAGAATGAACGCAACTTTGGCTATTACCGCCATTGATCAAGGTGCTACTGTTTTGAACTACATGGAAGTTAAGCAATTAATCAAGAAGGACGATAAGATTACTGGTGTTCTTGCTGTTGATAGAGAAACCGGTAAGGAATATAATATTAATGCTACTGCTACTGTTAATGCCACTGGTCCATTTGCTGATAAGATTTTGGAAATGGACAAAGACCCTCAGGGATTAGCACCAAAGATTGATCAAGCTCCAAGAATGGTTGTTCCATCATCTGGTGTCCACGTTGTTTTACCTGAATACTATTGTCCAAGAGATATGGGTTTATTAGATCCATCTACTTCTGATGGACGTGTTATGTTCTTTTTACCATGGCAAGGAAAGGTTTTGGCTGGTACCACTGATACTCCTTTAAAATCTGTTCCAGAAAATCCTGTTCCTACTGAAGAAGATATTCAAGACATTTTACAAGAATTACAAAAGTACATTGTCTTCCCAGTTAACAGAACTGATGTTTTATCTGCTTGGTCTGGTATTAGACCATTAGTCCGTGATCCTTCAACTATTCCAGAAGGTGAAGAACCTGGTAGTGGAAGTACTCAAGGTTTAGTTCGTTCTCATTTAATTACTCAATCTGACAGTGGCTTGCTTACTATTTCTGGTGGTAAATGGACTACTTACAGAGAAATGGCTGAAGAAACTGTCGACACCTTAGTAAAGAATTACGACTTTGATGGTAAAAACAACGCTTTGTTATCATGTCAAACTAACAAGATCATTTTAGCTGGTGGTGAAGACTATTCCAAGAATTACTCTGCAAGATTGATTCACGAATACAGAATCCCATTAAAATTAGCTAAGCACTTGTCTCACAACTATGGTTCAAGAGCCTCATTGATTTTGGAATTATACCACCAATCTGATTACAACAAATTACCAATCACTTTGGCTGCTAATAAGACTTTCGAACCTTCTGCAGACAAGGAATCCGAAGAAAACATTTTATCTTACCAATCATTTGACGAACCTTTCACGATTGCAGAATTAAAATACTCTTTGAAATATGAATACGCCAGAACTCCAGTTGATTTCTTAGCTAGAAGAACTAGATTAGCCTTCTTAAATGCTAGAGAAGCTTTAAGTGCTGTTGACGGTGTATGTGCTATTATGGAACATGAATTAAAATGGGATGAAGAAACGACCAAGAAAATGAAAAATGAAGCTAACGATTACATTGGTAAGATGGGTATCTCTCCAAAGAGATTCGATGTCGAAGACTTCATCGTCCAATGATATGATTAATATTTGTTATTTGTATATATTGCTAAGTATAGTTTTTGTTTTTTTCCTGTTATAGAGAAAATATTGTGCAATATATATATTATTTATCTAAACATAAGTCTACCAACTTTCATTAATACATTATTGGTTGTGAATGAAAAACAATCAAGTTGATTAATAGGATTATACTAATGATGCATTCTTCTAAGAAGCCCATGAATGTGTAGTACTGATATTTTCCAAAAATCATGAGATACTTGCTAGGGTTTTCAAAATTGATACCTGCAAATGAAGACAAGATTGAGTAGACAGCTCTGATAATGTAGAAAACAATAGATACAAGCAATATCTTTGCCATAAGTTGGTGGTCCTTGTTCAATATATGTCCCCACACGATGAACACTCCCATAACCACAATCAGAACCAAAAAAAGAATTGTCCCGACCTTTAATGGGGTCGATCCACTATTATTTCCATCGGAGCTGATACTAGTACTACCCACGATTGTGCAAATAACGGCAGCCAAGATGAGCGATGTCAAAAGTCTAAACGGTAAGTTTTTCTTCAGTGTCGATTCCACCAATGACCCGATACCCACATTTCTAATATCTATCTTCTGGTCTTCCGACCCGGTGTCGTACTTGAATGGGTTTCCCTGAAGTTGTTCTGGGTCCTTCTCCGTGATCATCAACTCTATGAACGGCAACAAGCACTTAATGAGCACTCCCAAACTAATATTATCAAAAATGTACGTTGCCATGGTCAATCCACTGCTATACTGCGATTGATGAAGCAAAATGATCCCACAGATGCCACCTACTACCTTACACACCGTAAACACCCCAAAATATCCCCCAAACTTCTTAATAATCATCCGGTCGGTACCCTTATTCCATTTAAGAACCACTACAACCACCAACCCAATTAGCATAATTGCGAAAAAAATCACTTGCACATACGCAACAATTTCCCAGCTAGTCTTATTCAGTATCATTTTAATCAAATATCTTTAAGGCTTAAATTCAAATATCCCATCATTTTTGAAGTCCATGGCCACCTATTTATAATTTTTTTATTCCACATCTTAAAAAATGCTTCGTGATCCTTCAATTCCTAGCCACCATCTAAAAAGTAAGATACAGCCAGATCCCTGGCGTAATGAATTACGGCCATAATGATATTTTCTACACTTAAGCCACTTTCACACATTTGATTACCGTTTACACGTCAAATCACTTATTTTAGGTTAGTTTCCGACGCATAAATTCGATCCGAGCTTGTATACGGCTTTATCCACCAATGATTCGGTTCTAAGTCCCTGATGGAACATCGAAGGGTTTATGGCCCAATTATATAAGCGGACATAATTAACTAGAGCGATTAGGTAAGCGACAAAATTTCCCATCTTATCAGAATTTGGCGAACTGCTTGGTCTGACTAACGTTCTTTGCATATCAAAATACAAAGCAAGACCGTTATATAGAAGAAAAATCGGGCAGTGTTAGTAAGAGTTGAGGAAACAATAGTGGAGCTAAGAAAAAATATAAATGACAGAGGACGTATTGGGGAATAGTTTTGACGTAAGCTTAGTTCCTCATGATCGTTATGGCCGAACTAAACGCAAGAGAGGAATGAAGAATGCACCGAAGCAAATAACAAATAGTGAAGCACATAGAGGGAAAAAAAGGTCGAAGAATGGATGTCTCAGTTGCAAGAAGCTTCGGATCAAGGTATGTATTTTTATGTAAATAGTATGGACAGAATGGGAATAAGCTGGGACGGTACTAACGAACATAGTGTAATGAAAGTAAACCTAGATGTGAATATTGCGTTCATACGGGACGAGAGTGTGTGTATCCGGTAGAGAGAGTGGTGGCAAGAATAGAGAATGATGGCAAGAATACTGAAGATTTAGATACGGTGGATACGGTAAATACAAGGGTGGAAATGGTAAAGTCTAAATGGCAGATGGTGGATCAGGATCCGGCCAAGACGTTCGGAAGCCTTACATGTGAGCTCATGTTGAATTCTTCTACCAAATTGCTAAATATATCAACATTTGAATTGAGGTTGTTGAATTTCTTCAACTCCTATTGCATACCGTTGATCTCGTTTGGGGTCAACATGAGGGCAGATAGAACTTGGCGTAACCAGGTGCCGAAGTTATTTTTACAGTCTGACTTGGTGCGTCAATCGATCTTTCTGTTCAGTAGCATTAACTTATGGCCGTTATGTGATTTTGAAAGGCTTATTGATACTGACACAGACCATTCTGTACGACAGGACGTGGAGAGAATGGACTCGGTTTTTGATTACAAGTTGCTTACTGAGAGCTTGAGTTTAGAAGCACCAGAACAGGACCCTAGTAATAATCTATTTCTCAAAACGAGTAAATACTTCATGAACACCCTTAAACATACAGGACACATCCTCGATAGAACTACGACAGGCATACAACCTGATATAGATGAATTGACAGCGTCGGAACTTCTGGTTTCAGGTATTTTGATCTTTTCATTCTTGGGGATTCACCCACATAGATTAGTGCCATTGGTATCATTCAACAATGAAGTGGAAACTGACTTTCTTTCTATTGTAAGGGGTGTCAGAAATACAATTAAAGCCAGTTATAAAGCATTAGCAACTTCTGATTATTTTGGTATCTTACCGTTGATTGATAGTTCAATCGAGTCAAATCCAATAACGAGATCATTGAGATATCAGCTCTCTGAATATTATGACGACGAGGTAAAGACGTCAATAACGAGTGATAATTTTGCTACTTTGCAGAGTTCTATAGCCAGTTTGGAATTGCATATGTCTAAAACAATCTTTTTGAATTATCCAGTTCCATTGTTTGCCTGGATTCTTTTAGTCCCAGACGAACTTCATGACTTGATCAGAGCAAAACATTTCTTCGCTTTGAGAATGCTCTATGTATTTGCTTGCTTATGCTGCTTAACAAAATTCCAGTTATATGATAGTAAGAATATTTGGAGCGATTACATCTTCTGGTTCAAAGATTACAACTTCCAATCCTTAAATGGGCGTTGGAACTGTGAGTTCGATGAAAATCTATACCGGGTTATTTTTGAACGAAAATTCAGGATTCCAAACAATACCTTCCATTTATTAAGCAAGTTTGATCCTAACTCATTCTTCGAGCAAAAAGGAAGTATCTGAAAATAGTGCTTCTTATGAAAGCTGAGTAATAAAATATCTCAGTACACATATCCAAGGTCTTCAAGAAAGAATATGATTGACTAGAAAAGGAAATCAGAATTTAGAGAGGACCTCTTCTTCGAAATATGCCCACGGCATACCAACTTATACTATGAAAAGTATGAGTGACTAATAATAACGAATTATATGAAAGAATTATAAGGTATATATTTAATAGGTAAATATAAGGATTATACGGTTTCTATAATGGCCGTCACACGTTCGAGCTGTTCAGTCGATGGCCCCCGCGATTGAGACCTTAAGAGTAGGTTAAATAGGTACTTGCCAATGTAAAACCCATTTATCGGTAGATCATCATGCCTTCTATTATAGCAGATTTCCTTTTATTTGATTTAGATGGTACCTTAGTAAACTCAACCCCTGCCGTAGAAAAGACATGGGTTGAGCAATGCAATAAGCATAATTCTACAAATGAAGTACTTATCGAGCCAGTGATTTTATTAAATTCAGCTCATGGAACAAGAACATCTGAAACTATCAAAAGATGGTTTCCGTATTTACCAACTGACAATCAGGCCATAAATATATTTGAAAAAGCAATTGTTACGAATTATGGGCATTTAGCCAAAGAAGTAAATGGTGCAACGCATTTGATCAATGTAATAAATAAACTTGGTAGTGATCAATGGGCCATCGTAACGTCTGGTACAAAAGATTTAGCCTATGGATGGTTTGAAAAATTATTTACAAATTCAGACAAGCCAAAGGCATTTATTACTGCAAATGATGTTTCGCAAGGTAAGCCGAACCCAGAAGGTTACTTGGAAGCCTACAGTCAACTAAAAGAGACAAATAAATTACTTGGTTGTGAATTTTCTGCTATTGTTTTCGAAGATGCCCCAGTGGGTATTGAGGCAGGTATTGCTGCAGGGTTTCATGTTATAGGGATAGCAACTACTTTTAACAAAGATACTCTAACAAAGGCAGGAGCATTGTTCGTGGTCGAAGATTTGTCAAAAATACATATTACGAAAACTACATCTACTTCTTTCCAGTTAGATTTAAGTATATTATAAATTTAATTATTAAATTTTTATAAAAACATACGAGTACTTTGGAATCATTTAATTTCCAAATCGTTAATTGTTTCTGCTAGTTTGTTCACTCTAGCTTTTCTGATTTGCTCGGTTCTCTTCTTATCATCATTTGCAAATTTATCACTCAATCCAGAAGTATTAAAGCTATCGTCGTAATCTTCATCGGCAAAGGTATCATTTCCACCATATTTTAATTGATAATCAGTTGGTGGTTCTTTTAAAATATCTCTAATGCTGTCATTGCTTACAAGTTGATTATGGACTCCAAAACTGAAACACCACTTTAAATGAATCAACCGTAAGTAGAGGAACCAGCTATTAATAGAAAGAGATCTTGATTTTGATAATTTGATATAATTCGAGTCCATCAAAGAATTGATTATTTCTACACCTTCCGGTGATTTCTTTAAAATTTCAATTCTTTTGTCGTATGTGGTGTAATTTGTTATGGTATTTAAAATATCTCTGAAAATTGAATGGGTTTCCTTTTTGCTCTTCTTGGTGATCTTATGGGTAGAAAAATTGGCTAACCTCTCAATAATGGCAGTAAGCTCTTCCTGTTCATAGTAAGGCGAATTATCATTATATTCAGATTCATCATCTGCGTCGCCACTGTTGTCGTAAGTAAATATTTCGTAACATAATGCTATTACTCTTCCTGCCGCCTTTGCGATTTCAATGTTATCATTATCAACTAACGCAACCAACTTTGGCATAGTATCTGCGACGTAATCGTTTAAGTAGTCACCTCTTTCAAACAACGTTAAAAGACACCCAGCAGCGTGCAACGCAGCGATTGCAACTGCAGCTTCTGAGTTTGCTTGACTTACAGAATCATTAACAATTTTCTTGTCAACTTCTTCAGCAAAAAATGTCGAATGTTCTCTTTCTCCAGATTTGAGCTGCGCAGTCAATGTATTCGAGCTAGCACTATAGCCTTCACTCAATTCTATCAAGGAAGTCACTCTATCATCAATACCATAACTTGAAGATCCATTATGCAAAATCATCAATAAAGCTGTAGACCCAGTAATAACACTAGCCTTGTTTTCACTATTTACATTCTGTGTCGTAGGATCTTGGATTAACTTTTGTATAAGATTTAAGAACTCTGGGGATATTAAATCCCCGAATTCTTCGATATCACTGGCCAATAATGCAATACAAGATCTAAATAGCAACAAGAATTCGCTTGGAGACCTATAGTCACCACTAGTCAATACCTTAATCAACTCCAATACCTTGTCGTCCGAAACATAGCTGCTAGTGCCTGCATGTTCTTCGTTATAGACAACCAAAGGTTTCGAAACAATGAGTTTGTACAATTGCGCCAAAAGCATTTCTCTTGATTGTGAAGATACCTCAGTTCTGGACATCGATAATGAATGAATAATGTCATTAATAGTCGTCAGTCCCGATTGAATTCTGGCTTGGTTCAAATGACTAATAGATTTCTGTTTGTGATCCTGAGCATCACTATTACCAGTTAAAGTACTTTCTTCCTGCAGACCTTGCTTCTCTAAAAGACTTTGTAAAGACTCTAATTTCATAGTCAATAATTCTTCTATGCTTTGAAAATTCACATCTAATGACCCATTTTCTTCACCGTCTACTTTAGGTGTTCTTACCCTTGAGGCCGATCTTGATGAGGAATTGGATTTAACATCCTCTTGGAGAAATCTTTTGTGTCCTGAGGGTCTAATTGGCATTTTTAATAAATAAATATAAAGGATGAAAAAACTGGACTTTCATGGGTATCTTCAAGTCGTTTTATCATTTCTTGTATGACGGGTCACGTGGAAATTGCAGCTTTTCTGTATTAGTAGCAATCTTGTTCAATGGATTCTGCATCCCAACAGTTTAACAGCCAATAGTCGTAGTAGGAAACAAACAGGCTGAAAGGGAAGAATATGCATTCTTTATAATGGTACATATCGAAAAAAATCAAAAAAGAGTCTTGAAATTAATGTGTTCTACAGTACTCTTCAGATAATTATGTACACTTTATTTCAGATATTTGTCTACACTTCATTATTCAGATGCTTCACAACTCATAGATGGTCATTAGGCAAGTATTATTCTCAGTCTATATAGATTATGAAGGAATGCAATACTGTATGTGTAGTGTAACAGTGCTAATAGAAAAAATCAAGAATCAGAAGTAAATGTCCTAAAAAGCCACCTCGTGTGGAAAAACATTGACTTCACGGCCATTAGCTCTCACCGTTTCATTATTAATGTCCTTGGGTAACAGCTTTCTCATGTCAAAGGCATCAATCTGGTCATTTATAGCGTTTTTATCAGTTGGTGGGTCTCGCCCATAATAGCCAACCACCCGTCGATATACACTGTAACCTAGTTTTTCGTATAGGTGTTGAGCCAAGATGTTCGTTACCTTAACAAACAAATCTATGAACAATGTTTCATGTGGTTTATCTTTAACCAAGTTTTCCAAATGCAAGCATAAGTCTGACGCCAATCCTATTCTTCTATACTGAGCATTCACCGTGACTGCCGTTATATGAGTATGCCATTCTTTCTTTGACAATTTTCCTTCATTTTTGCCCATCATGTATCCACTGATTTCGTGGTTCTGATTAAAGTCATTGCTTACTTCAACTGATTTGAAAAATAGAGATGGCCATTCGATTAGATACTGAAAATAAAATTGCAAATTGAAATTTTCAGTTAATGGGTCTAGATTAACTGGATTTATTTCAAATAAATCTTCAATTTGAAATGGTTTGATAGACGTCATTGGGTGCCTTGTTGCATTATATGTTACTTTGTATTCATGGTCTTAACGTTTATCAAATCATTTATCCGGGTAATCTCGGATTAGATTTGTCCAAAAAAATTTGAATATTTGCCATTTTGTACAAACACTATATAGTGCTTAAACTGAAGATATAACTAATTATCGAATTCTTTATAAACAGCAAAAATGTTCGGAGGTCCAGGTAGTCAACCAAGCGAAGAGCAAAAGAAATTGCAAGAAAAATATGCTATTGATACTTTAAAGACTGCTGGTTTTATTGCAGGAGCTTTATGGGTTGCACCAATCATTTTCCATTATATCAAGAGACAACTCTAAATATGAAAATTACATTCTATATGCT